TAAAATCTTCAGAAAAAGGGTGAGAAAGATTGATCGATGATCGAAATGCAGAAAATACCACAGAAACGTCGCGTTCCGGAGTTTAAATTGCAACGTGATTGCAAATTCGATCCGACTATTTATCGGCGAGGAAAATGAAAAATTACGCCGTGCTACGTGTACTCTATTCCGCGTTGTGCTAAAAAAGTCTCTTCTCCTCGAACGGAAGGGAGGAGAGAAATTCGCAGATAAAAGTTCGAATCGTCTCGAATGCTCGCGATAACGACACATTCTTTCTGCGCCGGAGAATCGGCGAAAGACAGCTCCTCGGACAAATGGATGTTCAAAAAGAAGAAACGGAAAGTAATTGACGATTTGTGCGAAGCAACCAATTTTAACAAATTCGCGATAGATTCGGATAAAAATCGTCGAATAATAGATCTAAAAAAAAAAAAAAAAAAAAAAAAGAATTCGAAGAGTCATCGAATTTTGTGCTTGCCTATCTCCGCATTCGCTCGGTTGTTTGGCCGTTTTTTCGCAATTCCTTCGTGTGTACGACTCCGTTGCGTCGAATTTCGATCGTTAACGAAAAAACGTCACGCTCCGCCTCGAACGGAATGTGTCTCGGTACAAAGTACTCGTGGTCGGTAGAACAGTCTACAAAAAGTGACACGAGTGACAATTATTCATGAAAAACGTTATTCTTGTAAACAGTGTTAAAATCTTAAGATAAACAATGTAAGACTATTCGCGTAACAGTATCAATAGAAATGGATCTGGCTAATAGGATGCGTTAGTTAATGCTCGTTTATCATTGGCCCGTCGATCATTGTTTTTCCATCGATCCTCGTCAAATTCAACGAGAAAAAGAATAAGTCCTGTCGATATTAATTCAGTTCGACGTTAAATTTGACAAGAATCGTTCGTCTTTTCCATTCATTTATTTCTTAACCGTATCGAGAGGGAAAAAACGAATCCACAAATTCCTTCGTTTTTTCCATCTTTCTACAGCTGGAAAAAGAAATCATTTCTGCGACGCGCTACACTGGATAACAATCGATGATGATTACTCATGTGTTAAACTGGTGTTTCTCGCTTGTGCACACTTCTTTCTCCAAGGGAGAGGGGAAAATTTCGCGACTCGAACCCGTGTGCGTCCATATGTACATGTATCGTCGTCGAATCGATAGGTATTATGCGGTATGCGTGTTTTCTCTCGTTTAGTACTATTTCCAACGTGTAATTAAACAAATATTCGGCGTGTACACGCGGCAGGGAGACGAAAGGAACGCAAACAGGACATTATTAGACGAATCCTTTGATGAGATTGTTTTACATCAGTCTCGCATAGAAATCACGCCAGCTAACATCGCTGGAAGATCGCTCCTCGATACGCGACAATATCCAACGATCGAATACTTTTTTCTCGTCTTTTCCCTTTCTTTTTGGTCGATTAGCGCGCGCGCGCGTGTGTGTGTGTGTGTGTGTCTGTGACGATGTCCCGTTCGATTTCTACGCAAATGATTCTCCCTTTTCGTTATCGTTCGAGAAACGGAGGCGGTATTACAGATACATAGCTATGGCGATACCTAGAGTGTACGAGAAACATTCATCAGGCGATATTCCTTAAGACGGTAGTTTTTTTATTTTTCTCTGTTTCGTTTGAATAAACACACTACGTCGCACGTTCTTCCTCTATAACTTCATTTTTTTTTTTTTTATTCAGCTACTTAACGGATAGCGCGAATGCCTCACGGAATGTTCGATCTTCGAAGAACCGTTCTTTCCTCCTTTTCTTTCGTCACCGTGAAAATTCTCTTCCTTCACACTCTGTTCGATTCATTTGAAAACGTTTCTCTCATTTGTATCGTATCGTCGGTGATAAATGGCGATTGACAGGGGCACCCACGAGACTCGAAACGGGTCGCAACGAGGACAATGAGAGAGAGATCCTCGGAGATCCGTATGAGATAATCTATCTTCTTTCATTTTCCCGTTTATTTATTTATTTCTTTTTTTTAAGAGAACACGGATATTACGTTCCCCACGTTTCTGGGAGATAATAAAAACGCCGGGAATCGGTGACCTCGTGCCCCGTGAAAACGACGCCCACGGAGGATGATTTTACTCAAACGAGAGCTAGTCTAGCCGTCGATAATAATTTACCATTATTATTGTTGTTATTATCGTACATACTTTTTTATATATAAAAAAGTGATGAAATCCTTGTTAACTATCTATTCATTTAACAACGAAGACGTGCGTCACACCTTTGGTTGTCTTTTTTTTTATTCTTCAGATTCGATATTTAAATCTCGTCTTCTTTCAACGTTATCCTCCATTTATTTTCTTCCCGTCTGCATCTCTCACCACGTTCTTTTCATTCTTTTTTGGCTGTGTCCAGGGGCTGCGTTTCAATTCGTTTCGACAGCGGATATACGCGTTTTCTTCTTCTTCTTCTTCTTCTTCTTCTTCTTTTTATTATAATACACGCACTATATATATATATTATTATGTATATCGTACTTTATATTTGCTCGTTACTTGAAAGAGGCAGTATTCCTGATGGCTTCCCGTCGTCCATCGCGAAAAGAAGTTACCAAAATGAGTCGCGTCGGCACGTCCTTTTCCATCATTCTCTTCTTCTTCCTCCTCCTCCTCCTTTTCCGTTCTCCATTATGTCGTAGTGTCTCGGAGATCGATTGTTCGCGTTGAAATAGGACCCAAGAGTGTGTTTTTCGTCGTCGATTATCGAATGACAGAAAAAAAAAAAGAAAAATCAAAGAGTGAACACAGCAGAAGGGATGATGTGAAAACGAAAAGAAGTGAAAAGAGAAAAAGCAAGCGGTACGAAAAAAATAACCAAAACGCCACGTTTCATTTTTTCCAAGTACTTTTATTCACCTTTTATTTACTCTTTACGACTTCAGAAAGAGGGGAAAAAAAAAAAGACCGATTCCTTCTCGTTACTTTGCCATCGCCGGGGGTTGTCCTCCTTCTCTCGCAATCGATCCGATATTATTATCGCGGCATCTCTCCCCCTATAAAACGTACTACCAATCCGAACGATCGTCGAAAAAGTCCAGTTTCACGCATCCTTGTCCGTGGACAAAGCGAAACAAACGCTATCCAGAGAAAAGAACAAAGGAAACAAAAAAAGAAAAAAAAAACAACACGAAAATAAAAACGAACGAACGAACAAAGTGCTCGATTTTACAAACTTTTCTTGCGTCTTCTTTTTCTACTCTTTCTTTCTTTTCTTTTTTTTTTTTTTTGGTTTTTCCTTTCTTTTGTTTCTTGTTCGTCGAGTTTGTCGTTTTTCACTATGACTAGAGACTTAATAAATCGTTAGCTTCGAAAAAAAAAAAAACGAGAAGCCTTTGTCCGAGAGGCCACGGAAATCGCGAAATACAAAAAGCACAGATCTTCTGTTTCCATTATTATTATTATTATTATTATATCCTTTATTTTTTTCCCATTTTTGTCCATTTGAATATTTTAAGTACCCTTCTTCCTTCATTTTCTTTGTGTTTTTGTTACGGAACACTAAGGCGAACGTTCCTTCTTTGTGCATCCACCGTTTCGACTAGCAAGAGAGCTCGAAACGCACTAAATAAGGGAGATTTCTCTCTTGAATTATCCTTCACGTGTTGTAAAATCGAAGGAAGAAGGCCCTCGGTTCTTTCATTGGCGCGGAGGATAAGATTCGTTTCATCATTCTTCTCGTCCTTTCTTTCACTTTCTGTTCGTTCTTTGTTTCTGCCTAATTGGTCGCTAGAAGATATGGAGGCGTGTGACATAAAGCGAGATTAGACGAAAAGTAGTTATATCAAAAGGAATCGATTATAAATTGGTTATCGTTTCAATAAAATTCTGTGTGTGTGTGTGTGTTTTTGCGTGTGTCCATGTGTTTTCTTCTTCTTTTTTTTCTTCCTTCAAATCGTCTCGTAAAACGCAAAAACGGTTAGAATAATAATCACGTCTTTAGAAACTCCATCAAACACTTCAATGTGGTTGTCCCTTTAACAATTCCTAAACAGATTACACGTTACTTGTTCCGTTTTAGGAAAACACAATTGTTTTGGTTGTTTTTTCTCTCTCTTCGCGTTCCGGAAGCCACGCTTCTGGGCTATGCTGAACAGGAACCAACCAGCGTTTTAAAATATATATATATATATACACACATTCAGGAATAAACAATTTACCGGAGAAAAGTATGCAAGATAATAAAAAGAAAAAAGAAAGAAACAGCTCCGTAACCCCACCCCCCTTTCCTATCCATTCACGAAAATGTTAAATGCAAAAGAAGAATGCAATAAAATATACAGGAAACTAAGAACATTATCTATGACAATAATCGAGGAACCATGAAATTTGACGGAAAAGAAGAAAAAACTATAGAAAATAGCAGCGTGGTCGCCGGAAAGCGATCGAAATTACAATCATCATTAATATTAATATTAAACATTATCATTAATATTATTACTTTAAATGCATACACAGTTTAAACACCTAGTTTCATCGACAAAAAGAGGACAGAGAGATAGATAGAAAGATAGAGACAGGGTAGATGAAGAGGAACACAGGAGATGATGACACGTGATGAATAGAAATGTGTGAAGGGTAAATTTGAAGGATAATTAAAAAAGAGAGAGAGAGAGAGAGAGAGATTTTGATCGATGGAAGAATGATAATAAAAATTGTTCAGGAAGAAGAGAAAAGGGAGGGGAAAAAAGAAGAGACGAAACGAACGACGAGGATGAGAGAGAGAGAGTTTGGTCTCGCGGTCCTTAGCTTCGATCAGTGGATTTTCTTTGGGTCCTATTTCAAAGGAACTTCTAGGACGACTGTCTGTCTCGTCGAGAACACGTGCCTTCCTCGTGCAATACGTTCTCAAGGATTCCTCGGTGCTGGACCGATTTTCTTCTTCTTTTTTTAATAGAGAAAGGTGTGTATTCGTGTACGTGTGAATGTGAATGTTTGTGTTGGAAGTCTGCTCTGGTGAGAGTTAGGAGGAACTCTTCTTGGTCTTGCTGTTCTTTCTTTCCTTCGTGTCTCTTTTTTTTTAACCAGAGGAACAGGGAATAGAGAAGCTACGAACTAAACGATTACACGTTACATTTAAATATTCCCTTTCTCTCGTTCGTTCGACCGATGTCTCCTTTCACACGTGGCGAATTCCAATGAAAGGTAAGATGCATAAGGAACAACGCGGTACTTGCCAAATTTCAATTATCCTCTTTCCGGGTTTTCGTTTTGGCAATTGGGCCGCCGTCGCTTCGAGACCTTTCGCTCATTCTTGCACATCTGAATAATCTCGTTCACTCTCTAACAATCTCTTGTATTAATTCGCAAACATTCACGCAATTTCACGAAAGAAGAAGAAAGAAAAACAAAACAAAAACAGCAAGAACGTGTGCTACAAGATGGTCTATACAAAATAAATAATGATAAATCTATATAAAAAACAAAAGGAAAAGAGAAAGAATATTAAAGATATATCAATGCAATCTCGGGCGATTATAGTCACGAGAAACGATGCAATCTTCGCCGATGTATTATCATGCTCTTTTTTTTTCTTTTAAATCCAGCCTTCATGAACAAGGTGAGAAATGATATTGAAAGTGTGTGAAAAAAGAAAGAAAGAGGTGAAAACGGAGAAAAGAGAGAAAATATGATCGAGAGACAGTGTTTCTTTCTTATATAAATGTCGGGACCCGTGGATGACCCACTATGTTATTTAACGGGCGAATGCCTTTCTTTCGTTTACGGCATAGTTCGCGTCTCAGTGTGCAAATGTAAGAATGTTAATGTAGTCCTTTTTTTTTTTCCTCTATGTACGTATATCAATACACGTGCGTACGGTGTGCGTGTAGGTTGAATGCAATATGCGAGAGATTATCGTAACTTTGGCTGCTCGTCGACATACGGATATAACATGTATATATATAGTTTTTCATGATCATGTTCATTTCTTTCTTTCTTTCTTTGTTGCATTTGTGCTGCGCACGAGCGACCGTTTCTTCTTCTTTATTCAGCAACTTTCTCGTTCTTTCCCACGTCTCTCGTGTTCTCGCCTGGTACGACTAATGCTTCGTGCGTGTCGAGGGGGGAAAAAAAAATATGTAAACATCAACCGCCGGAGCAGCCACGTCGGCGCTTCATCGGCAGTGTGAACGCTCTCGGAACCATTTCGTCTGTTTTGTTTTGTTTTGGAAAATTCTTTTTTGTTTTCGTTTCTGTTGGTGATAATAAAACTCGCTTCTTCCAAATGACGTTTACACCTCGAGAGAGCAAGGAGCGTCGTAGGTGATCGATTCTCGATCTCGTTATCAACACCTTCGAATTTCAGGGAAGATCTTCGAGGAGAAGCTATATCAAGGTGTGTATGTGTGTGTGTGTATGTATATATATCAACAGCACGTGCTCTTCGAAGGTTCGCCAAGTGATCCTTGAGAAAGGGGAGGAGAAAAAGGAAGTATGCTTACGACACACAAGGAGAGATTTGGCCCCGTCAGCCTTTTTTTTGGTGCTCCTCTCCGTTCTGTCGGTTTTTTCTTTTGTTCTTATCTTTTTTTTTTAAATATATAGATCTCTTCCTTTCGCCCACGCTTCTTTCTCGATCGTGTTATTATAATTAATAATCATCATCATCATCCGTTATATATCATTCGTAAAATCCGAGTAGAAACCCGAACACCGAAACGATACTGAATAAACTAGAAGCGCTGGTATTCGCGAGTGATTTTATCGCCGACCTTGCCACGCCGCCACGTTAAATCGACGACGCGTCTCTGGTAGTCCTTTTTACCACCACAACCCAAAACGTTCTTAAATTCGCTGCCGCTACTGCTGCTGCTGCTGCCATGGGTCTTCTCTCTACCGGTCTGGTTCTTGCTACTGTTGCTGTTGTTGCTGCTGTCCAGCTGATGTCCAAACTTTCTGATCAATGTCAGCTCCGGCGAATCAGGTGAGTAATTCGCCTCCGTCGAGGATACGGACTTGCCGACTTCGGTGGCCAAGTGGTGGTACTTGATGCTTATACTGTATGCTGATTGGCTGCAGTTGGTTCTTTGGAGGAACGTCTTGGGATTAACCCCAAGTTAGTTCCAAATACGCAGGAACGAGTCCCAGGAGCCCGTACCTACCGCCATACCGTCCTCCGTCACGCCCAGGCAGGACACGCGATTATCGTGACCGGCGAGTATTCCTGCAAAGTAAAATTGAAACACCTGAAGAAACTGGATCTCGCCAACTCTCCATCCACACTCCTTTAAATTAACACTGCTTTTCCTTGGAAAATAGTATACTACATTGGAAAGAAATATGATGAAACGAGGTAAACAATGGAAAAGTAAACAAGACACTCGAGACATAGGAAGACGAGAATGTCGAGAGATGGGCTTAAAGCAAAGTTTCTCTTCTCTCTTGAAAAATAACGTTGTAAATCGAAGAAGATAACGTACCAGCTCGCTCAGCCTTCATGGAATCCCAAACGTTACAGTTGAAGTCGTCGTAACCGGCCAGCAGTAATCTACCGCTCTTGCTGAACGCTACGCTGGTGATACCGCAGATAATATTGTCGTGACTGTACATCGCCAGTTCCTGATCCGCCCTAATATCGAAAAGTCTGCAGGTTGCGTCGTCCGAACCCGTCGCGAAAGCGTATCCATTCGGGAAGAACTGAACAATACGAGATGAAACACCTGTATTAAACCTTGCGAAACTTTCTGGTGTCTCTTCCAATAGCAACGACAGTCCTCCAGCGTTCCCACGGCGTGACAACGGTAACGAGCCGAAGAACGAGCTAAAAGAAAAAGCTAACAGAGATCAAGTACTCACCGTAACCGCGTTTATGTCGCTCTCATGACCCGGGAAGGTTTGCTTGCAAGATCCCTCGCGAAGATCCCACAGTTTCGCACTGGCGTCACACGCGCCAGATACAAATGTGCGAGTGTCTGGCGCCAAGGACAGGGACATTACATCGCCCGTGTGACCAATGAAGGAGGTGCATTGTTGGCCAGTCTCGATGTCCCACAGGGCGCTAATTGAGAAAAAGAAAGTAACACGATATTTCGACGCAGCTTTACACACTTTCACAACCGGCGTAACTACCAATTAAAGAGGGAAAAAGGAATGATATACTTTTATTACACATTCGTACATTGGCCAACAGGCATCTTACCTAAACGAAACGCTTCGAAGTCTCTGCAGCGATACTGGTAGGAAAATGATGGATTGGACGAAAGTTTGAGAAACAAAGATTATCCCTTACCAAGTCATGTCTCCAGAACTAGTGACGATCTGGTTGTCGTCGTAGAATCGACAGCAGGACAAGTACCCAGTGTGACCTGGTAGCTCTCTGCTAACCCTCACGTTTCCTTCCCTAGTTTTAAGACTATAGATGGAGCAAATGTTATCCAGCCCACCGCAGGCCACGTAACTACCTGATGGCGCGTACGCACAAGTCATCACCCACGAGGAGCGCAGAGGGATCGCGTGAACTTTGTTAGTGGTGTAACTATCCCAGACGATCAGTTTTCCATCCTGCGACGCTGACACCAAGTTTCTGTAGGCAGAGAAAAAGAACGGATGTGTAACAGTTCCTTGAATTTCTCACCTAAAATCTAATTGAGATTCTGATGTACATGTAGGACGACGAATACCTTGAGTCACTGCCCCAGTGCATCGCGTAAATCTTGGCTAAGTGACCGCGGAGCGTGCGTCTCGTGCGCATCTGTATCCGACCGATAGGCTCCATGCCCGACGTG